CGCCTTCAACGCTATCCACTGTTTTAATATATACTAATTTTCGTTATTCCCACAACTTGTCTGCTTGCTAATATATAGATACTGTCAGGAGAATTTGTTTTTAGATCACTTAAGGGGTTAACTCTGTGCAAAGTGAACTTCTCTTTGAGATGGACATTTGGTCCCATTTTTGTATTCGTTATTTTAGAGAAAGTTGACTATTTCGGAAAATGAATGTGCTAAAACCTTATGCACCCAGTCCTAATTTCAGCCCATTTGTCCTCCATCAGTCAATCTGTCTTGTTTCGGATACGCGTTTTTTCTCAGCAGACTGTAATTTATCAGCAAAGCAGAAGAAACGTGACTTTTCCTGGCTCGTAATTAAACCAAGTTCGCGGAGATGTCTCTGGACTTGAAAAATGTAGCTAAAAAAAATCAATAACGAACGGTCAGGGAAATATGACATAACGCTGGTTTCTATGACCCATTTACGATGCACCATCCTGCGGTAATCGGGCAGTCTGTGCCTCAACTGGGCCGATTGCCTTTCTGTCTCTCTCGCTCACACAGAAAGGCAATTTGGGTATCCGAGTGTTCTCATTTTGTATTTGTTGGTTTGTTTTTTTATTCTAAAATTGAAACTCAGTTAGTCCATACTGTTTGTCTCAATGTTAATTTAGATTTGCGAAAAAATGCCTCTTCGAGGGTTTAGGCAATTGATATGATTTCTTTGGTATTGTTTAGTAAACAAATTTCCCCCATATTTTCTTTAATTTTTCCGCTCGGATCTGATCGGAAGCATGTTTGCCTTAAACCATAAGCCAAGCCTGAGCGAAACACACAGAAATAACGTGTTTCTCTCCATGCAGCCTTCTTCCCCATTTCCCCGTCTCATAAAGTACAATTTCACCTCTGATTATCCAACACGTTCCTTTGAGCAAGGTGTCGAGGCATCATAGCAACTAGAGAAATATGGTTTTAGGTACTTCTGAGTTCTCAGGAGGAATCCAACCCCAGACCTTCGAATTCTGCACTCCGATGCTCTATCACTGAGGCACAGAGATTCTACAGTCATTTAGAGCCCGGCGGTTCAATTCTAGGTTCGTGGGTGACACGTGTCCTGCATACAGCTGGGACCAGCATTGTCCAAAGCGTTATGCCCTTACAAAGAATAAGAAAGCTCGGTAATAAAATATAGAAAGATGTTTCTTGTTCTTTTCACAAGTGCATGCATGTAGCACAGAGACAAAGAAAAATTTCAGATCTCCCACGACGAATCGAACTTCACACCGCGCTCTGATGCTCTACCATTGAGCCATAGAGACTCTATGGTTAGTCAGGCAATCACCAGGTTCATCTATGTTATTTTAACTGAAATAAAATATTTCGATTTAGAGATGAGTAAAATGGTCAGGAAAAAAACATTCTCGATTTATGTGGAGGCTGTAATAAACGAAATTCCTCCTTTTCATGCCTGATTACATATTATAACAGTTTACAAGATTTTTTAACAAAATGGATAGAACGCTGGACTGTTGTGTGGGAGGTCGAGGGTTCGAGCCCCGGCCGGACCAACACTCAGGGTCTTAAAATAATTGAGAAGAATATGCTACCTTTCTATAACATCAAGAAATGGTTAGATATTCTAGTATGAGGAGGTAGTGTGGCTGAGTGGTTAGAGTGTCGGACTCGTAATGTCGGGTTCGAGTCCCACCCTGACCACTGGATCTGTTTCACGGTAGCCCCGAGTTCAGGTCCTTGGCCATGCTTGTAAATAGCCAATTGGTTTGCCTCCGGCCGGTTGGGGTTCTTAATGATGTTCTTAATGTTGTTATGTTCAATTTAGACCTTTTGTTTCATTTGTTTGCAAGGACGACAATGGAAACTACTGGTTCACCAGTAATTGTGTAATCCTATAAAAATACTTCTTTTTTTTTTTTTATTCCCACACACGAGATTACTGTGTGACGGATGTCCTCCCCTGGGGTGGGATGGGTGGGTATATTTTGCTAAGAATCATCGGATAGATAGAGAGCAAGTATTAGGAAAATAAATTAAATAAAATCTATGCTCATCTCCAAGACTCTGATCAGAAGAAAGGACGAATTCTGAAAGCTACAATTTTTTAACCAAGTGTGTCCTAACTTAACTGAACTCAGTTCTACGCGAAAATGCTTGTTCGGCTTTGAACAGTTGTATCAATCAATCACGCGTGAGAAATGGACCGTCAGAGATTAAAATATTTGAGACTGATACAAATCTACCAACCGTAATCTTATTTCACTCTAGGAGTTTGGGATTTGTGGATGTTCCAACAAGTTTTCCCTTCCCATTACTGCAAAAAAATATATTTTCGTTCACCAACATTGAAACCCTTTTTCTCGAATTAGAAAGTTCCCCCGACTTCACGAGCTCGAGACCTTAGTTGAATTTCGAAAGCAATAACTTTCTCGATTTTGAATGTAACTAGTGCAAGAGATATGCTTTTCGGGATCAGGAACCATCAACACGCGAGGAGAAACGGGCCCCTGTAGAACCGAGAGGTCGTAAAAGCGTTACTTTCAAACATATTTAGCGCCACCCGGGAGACTTCTTTGGAGTGTTTAATTCAATCGCTAGGACCCATAGAACTGCATTGCAACCGTTGCTGAGGTGCCTTAGGCTAAGGGACCAAGGGGGATGAGGTAAGGGGGCGGGGGGGGGCTTTGCTAATCAGACCCTGGGGGTTTATGGATTTCCTTGGGTAGTGTACTTAGTAATAAATTGCATGCACACTGGTAAGTTTAAAAATAATTTATGCTTTAGACACAAGTTTCACTTATGTATTTAAGGATGTCTTACAACAAATTACCAAAATCAAATGTTCCTTCTACTCCGACAGCTACTAATAAGATGCAAATTGATAATTTCAAACTCTATAAAGTGGCCACTCATCACAAAAACAGTTTTCAGAACGGCTCCACTTCAAAAATGTCAAATTAATTAAAACGATATGAAACAATGCGTCACTTATAAAGGCTAGAACTAAAAGAAAGTAGCAAAGAAGAGGTTATCAAGAAGGTTAACCGTTAGCCGTAAAAGCGGCAAAAAATGTTAGCCGTTAGGCGTAAAATATTGAAATATTTAAACTGTTCGTCGTAAAAAGTTTCCTTTCAATAGTAGTAGAAATAAATTAATCGTTAAAGGCCCATTTTCATCCGAGATCCTTTGCAGTCGTTTGTTTTTGTTTTGGAATCGCGCTATTGTTAAATGGCGAACTCTGATAGTCATTCACAAACACTATTAAAAAGAAAAACAAAGATTTGGTGAAGAACACAGTAAACAAATTTGCAGCTAAATATTTGAGACTGAAAAATCATAAATCGAGTCTGTGTATAAAACTAGTACAAAGCCTACTTGATGTTGAAGGAAATTGTTCGGCTTCAACACTAAATAAAATATAAACAAATAACCAATATTGGCCAAAACTGATTTACTTTACGCATTTCAATTATAGAATAATGACTTGTACAAATGAGATCGCTTACATACATATCTCAGGATCTCAAGTAAAAATCAGTCAAATAATTATTCTCACCTCGAAAAAATCTCCCCGGAGTCTCTAGTTCCATCGTAGGAACAATGCAATAACATTTCTGCAAAAGCACTGTCTGTAGTGTTACCGAAACCCATTGTTGTTTTCCTTGCCCTCCATAAATCATACACAGACTCTCGAAGTCGAATAACCTTTGCCGAGCCGGGCAGACCCGGCCTTCCTCTAGACCGCTTCTTCGGCGGCATCAACTTTTCAAATGACGTTTTTCACCGTCATACATGTAAGAATTAAAAACTATTTCCTGATATGGATACTACGATAGTTTGTTGTTCGCACATGATTCATTATGGAACTTTGAAAGCCCTAATTTGTAAGATGGAAGAAGATATCAAAGCGATTCCGCAACATTGAGGAAAATAGCGTATTTTTCATATATGAAAAATGATCTGGGCGCGCAAGGCATCTCGGTTGAAAATGGGCCTTTAATAGGCCAAAATGTTAACCGTACTTTAGCTTTAACCTCCCTCCCCCCCCCCCCAAAGGATATCATGATCATGATGTCCTGTTTTGTGAACTAACTCTTTACGGTGGCCAATTTACAATTTCAACTTAGTTGATGTTACCAAATTACCTTGTTACCCCCACCGACGCAGCACCATAGTTCTTTAGGGACTTACCCCCTACATATCGAATTGTTCCACACACTCGAGACTTTCTACCCATCAATTTTATTAAGTGTTACTTTAAAAACCTTTGCTACCAGCTACTGCTAAATGTACCGCGAACTGATAAAATGATTAGTGTCAGTACACGCATAAATGGGGTAAGAATGGCCCATCATATCTCTTAAACAAGCACAGTGACCTATCTTTTTTATTGTATTTTTCGAAACAGACATTAGTGGGCCGGGAACATTGAGGGAAAGTTGTTAAAAATTCGATAGCTGTTTTTTCTAAGGAATCACCTTAAGCTCTCCGACAAAATCTTTGTAAATGAATTTGTGAAACTTTATGAATTTAAATCAAATCAAATTCTCATTATGAAGAAGAATTGAAGCGCTTTTAAAAAGTTGCTTTTTAGTTTGATTTTTATCTACATTATACCACAATATTTCTACAGGTGTTTCTTTGAGAAGCGCTGTTGTTTTCTTAACCTAAGTCCAGATCAGTACCATGTGATAAAAAATAACATTTGAAAGATGCTATTAATTATGAGTTCATACTTGTATGTGCAATGCGTGTATGTTAAACTGCAGCAAAAATCAAAGAATCGTCTTTTCTCTCTTATTTTTTTATTTTGCTGCCGTTTGTTATAGACGCTCGTTAGAAGAACAACAGCTTTCGAGGCTACTACACCTTACAATGCTTTTACTTTCCTGTGCTCTTTCTTAATCTTGAACATCGAACTTTTCTCTCACAAGACTAATACAGCATAAGCAATATATCAGCGTCAAATAAGGAAGACGTTTGAAACTATTTAGCAAGCTTAGAAAAGCTGAAACAAAACTTTTTTTTAATAGAGATGGGCAATGTAATCTTAAAACTTTTTGCCGAAAGTTTAATTCGACGAGGCTTGAAACGAAAATTTTGAGCATTGTAACACGATCTGAATTTAGCGTCCAACGAGTTGCAGTCCAATACGTTTCGAAGGCAAACTTCCATCGTCTAGTTTTTTCCCCATTTATTTACAGCAGAGTAAAAATTAACACTTGAATAACGTAATACATCACTCTTCATTTGTATTTCTGTTCCCTTGACAACAGCCAATCGAAGTAAACATTTCGTAATTAATTTTCTTCAGCGACAGCCTGTGTAAAGTACGGCGGGGTGAATATTGCTTTTATTAGTTGGGTGAATAAGGAAATACGGTTATATCGTCGATGTAAAGTCGTAGGAAAATATCTTCGGACCAAACGAACTGAAGAGTAATTCACCACAATAAACGCCACATTACTTCAAATGAGGTAAGCACAAAGAGACAAAAATCAACAATATGAATTTGCGGCAAATGGTTCTTTCTCATTGCTCTTCATAAAAAGGTTTTTGGTTGAATAATATCTGCGAGTGCAGTCATCGAAACATCCAACACCGCAAAGTAAGATATTCTAAGAGTCATGCATGACTAATCTAATTCTCTTCGAAAAAAATGACCGGAGAAGTCGTCGTCTTTGTTCAATTGAAGAAAAAAAAATTAAAACGCTATGTGCAGAAGAGAAAAGCAAAAAAGTATAGTTGAATTTCGCTCAGACTGAGAAGCTGAAATGTAAACTTTCGATATCGCAAACAAAGTTAGTAATACTCAATGAATTGTATTGAAAAACATCAACGCAATACAACAGCGTTTCGAAAGTAATTAATTTTTGCCATTGAGCAAAATTTGTTATGGAAACTCGGTACTTTCCGTTATTGCTGTTTGGTTTGAACGCCGGTATATATAAAGATTTATCTATAGTCTTTAAAATAAGAAAGGTGTAAATCGGGTATTTAAGTTACTGAACTTAAACGACGGGCGGATATTATTCATATTGAGTCAAATAAACTCAAGATGAAATGATCAAAAGCACAACGCGAATTAATACGATATACTTTGCATGTGATTTGGCCGGGGCCACCGTGAACTCCTTCCGGGATTACGATAGCTTTCGTGGACTCTGAACAAATCAGTTCGAGGACATTAGAAGACATTTGGAGACCACCTACAGATATCTGACAGCTTGAAAATGTAGTCTGTTTGCATAAATAGACGGCAGCTGGCTTCTTGTTCACTTTGAAAACCACTGTTTTTGTTATAAATTGAAGCATTGTTAGTTTTTTAAAACAGCAATAATTGCGAGTCTGGCGAAAACAACAAATCGCTTGAACTGTGATACACATAACACTCATTTATTGTCCTAAATTAGAACAAAAACCTTTTTATTTTGAAGCGACTGATCAAGACAATCTTGGAGAGTGTTTCATATTTTTTCCTCCACCTTACTCAAATTAAAAACTTATTTACCAAACTCTAATACATAATATATTTTTTCTTCTCTTCCTGTTGGTCTTTAGATGTTTTTCAGACGTAGTCATGAATCCTAAATGAACGTAATAAAAAGTCGCATTGCACACGATCGAATTTGCAATTGTAACTCCGTTTAGTCTCTGTTACTTTCTTACTTTGTCCTAAAACGTCCCCAAAAGTTAAAGTGATAGAAATTAGAATAAAAACCGGAAAGAGTGGAAGCGAGTTAGGTTGACAAAAACGTTTAGAATGATATCATATATCTTTAATGTCATCGCTGACGACAGAAATGTATCAAAATCGACACGCTGCTCGCAAAAGCAAAGCGCCCTACCAGAAATCCAGCGTTGATTAGCTTATCTGAGGTCTTTCCTGGAAAGAGGGCGCTTTTCTGAGTATTCTCTGTCCGTTTAACAAAACCAACAGAATGAGCTTATTTTCTCAAAACTTTTAGGCAGGAGGGGTATGTAATTTTGAGCATTATCCCATTCTTGTTAAAAGAATAAGAAAAAACATGCCGTGCGCTGGGTCATCAAACAAAGAAAATTGCTTTTCGTTGTTTCAGGGGCATGAGACGTAGAAAAATGGAACCCCAGACCATCTGACTTTGGGCGTAGTTCTCTCCTCGGGTGTTACGACAAGCTCAGTCATAAGTAAAGCAGTTCAAATAAATTCGGTTTGTTTTGAAAAAGAATCCACAATCTCCCAATACGATAACTTTAATTGCACTTAGCGTGTCCATTACACGATTTTTCTTTTGTATTTATTTACCTAATCATATATGTAGAAGCCAATTCCGATATAAGAAAGTTTTCAAAAGAAACTTAAAACTCGTTTTATTCGTGCCAAAAAATGGTCCCGTAGGGAACTGAGAAAACTCTCAGTTGACACTTACAAATCTCTCACATCTCTCGAAATTTTGTACCAGCTAGCGTTGAAATACTCTAGAAATAGTTTCTTATAACGATGTATACCTACCTTCAGCAAGCTCTATCGAGAGTTGTGGTACATCGTACTTAAGTAGTAAAGAAGTAGTAATAGAGGATGCGAGTACGATTCAGCCCTACGACGGTGAACCGCATGTATCAAGTTAAGATATCGACGAAGACTGACTAAAAAAGGTTTCTCTTCGGCTGCTCGGATGTGAATTGTTTTTGCTATTCACTTCCAAACCAGCCAATCAGCGCGCGCGACCGAAAAACAACATTCATCTGAGTGGTAGATACTAGCAATGGATATTCGGAGTTTGAATAACCAATCAGAGCACACCTTCAACGCTATTTACTGTTCTAGTAAATACTAACTATCAATAGTTAACAAATAAGTTATTTCACTAATCAACGAAATAGAGCATAAACTTTGTGGTAAGATTCAACTTTAAAACTCTTCGACTAGCCCTAAGTAAAAGCAGAATATGAATATTAAAAACTGTTTTTACAAAAGTGCATTATAATTGATCTTCAATAGATGGCGCTCGCATGGTTAAGAACGCACATTCTTCACCGTCTTGTCGGTAACCAAGAATAATGAACTGTTTATAATCTCTTGCAACAACTTAGTAAGCTGCCAAATCTTCAAAAAGAAATTATAAACTTGTCTATCTATTTTTTAATAACAGTAGACTTAAAGTAACGTCCCACTTCTAACAGGAATTTCCCGATGATGAATTTTAAACCCTTGTTATTAGACTTCTGACGAGTAGCATAATGATATCAACCTTGTGGAAACCGGTGGTGTCCGACCACGCACGAAATGTCGCCGGCTTCCATAAGAAAATGATTGCAATATGTAGTCCTTTATAACAGTTTCAACTTGTATTACATCTCCAAGCTTTGCTCTCACTATCCGATTATCCTCGTGATAGAGCTACCACTGGATTCTTTGGGTGTCTCCTTTTTCATGTGCACTTTGTATCTTCTCCTGATTGAATCAAACGCGACAAAGTCATGGTTTTTGTTGCCCAAAGGCCCTTTGCCCCCTGGCAAGTTCACATGGTGTTAGCCATTGATGTATGTTAAACAATAGCCACAAGACAGCTTCGTTTTTACATGTATGGATTTATATTTCCTCAGGCATTGTTGCTAGAAAGAATAAATGCTTTTACTTTAAAATGAAGTTATGAAGAAACGCAAATCCTGAATAATTCAGGTTGTTGCCTTTTAGACTTAAAGGCCTCGAACTTCCTTCTCGAAATTATTATTAACAACAACAAATGAATAGGTAAATAAACATCCAGAAGGGAAAGCTAGTTTCAGGTGAAGATCAAATGCGCTTCTAAACCCAGGAACATTTAAACATGAAAAAATATTTTAATAATTCTGAGGTTAAAACAAGATATGGCTCATGACAACTGCGCAAACAACTAATGATTAATTTTGAATTAGAACAAAAACAGAATTAAACGAAAGTTTTCCTTAAAAAAACCAAGTTTTAAATAGTAGTTATAGAATGTTAGATAATGCACATCGGCTCAACGTAAAAGTCAGTAACATGGTAAGTTTAAAAAAAATTATTTGTAAATAACAACTATGAAATATTTCAATGTTTATGTCAGTTTTAAAAAATTAAAGAAAAAGAATGAGGAAAGCATTCCAAGCTAACTTCCTTGTTTCTGAAAGTAATAATCTATGTGTTTCGCAAAGAAGCTATATCTAATTAGGAGATTATGGTACCTACCGAAGGACGTTCTCACTAACTTTTACTTCAGAGTCATACTGCCATACGGCGTAGTTCTGTGGGGGTCGTGTTTTAATGCAGATCTCTTGGACTCATTGGAACGATTGCACTGTAGGGCGGCGAGGATAATTTTTAATTTACCTAAGGACATGAGATCGTTGGACGTGTTCAGACAACCTGACTGGCATCCGCTGAGCTATAGTTATAAGTTAGCTAATGTACAAAGCATTTCATGATAAGCTCCCATGCCACTAGTGCTATCCGATAATATTACGACGAAACACCCAACAGTTTACTCTTTACGAACGTCAGAGTCCTTAGAGGTGCCACGTTTCAGCTCTATTTATGAAACTCTACTCCCTATAGAGGCCCTGTTTTATGGAATATTTTAATTTCTAAGGATAAAGCTATTCCTAATACAAGTTATCAAAACTTGAAGAAGAAAACCCGTTCAATGGATATTTTTAAAGAGTTGACTTTCAAAGAGACCTCTACAACAACCACAAATTTTAGACGTAAAGATTTCCATCATATTTAGCTTACGTCATACTTTTGACAGTTTAATTTTTAGATAGTTTGATATTGTTACTTATTATGTATATATTTTGTTCTGAGTTTTCTTATTTATGCACGACCCTATAAGCTGTTTAGCTTTTATTACTATCGTGCTAATATAAAGGTTGTCTGTCTGTCTGTCTGTATGAACGGAAACATATTAACGACATACTTCTCGGAACCACCGAAGCAACGGCTATTTTCTTTCTTATTTCACTCCAAAATTGTCCAGTTAGGTACTTATTGAAACCTCCACGGTAAACCACTGTGTAACATTTTGACGTATCGTGCACGAAATGCCGCCGGCTTCCACACAGTTGGATATGATATTTCAAATTTTATGGCGCTATTCGAAATGAAACAAAACTGAAGTTGAGAAGATTTTCATGTTAGAACAAAAAGACGTTTCTTTGTGTTTTTATTTCTGATGCTAGCTATAAGAGACCTACTTCGATGAACATGATTTCAAACATTTTTTAAAGATGGCGTCTTGATAAAATTTTTCATATTACTTTGATATTAAGATCAAAATGAAAACAGCGCATTATTTTTTTGTGTTCAAATACATGAATTTGTAACAATCCATTTTCAATATCATGGATTCATTTAGTTAGCAGGAGTTCTAAGATGGGGTTCCGAAGACTATGTTTCTCTGGAAATATCCAGTAAGGGGAAATAACATCGTTTATTTACTTAGCTGGACGAATAACAAGATGTGCAGCACATCGTAGAATAAACAAATCGGTAATAACTCACGATAGCTTCTCTAGTTCTTTGTCCTTCACTAGTTCTTTCAAAACAAGGAAGTCTCAAAAGAGAAACATAATGGAAATGAGACTTTTATCTTAAACTGAGTGGGTGCTCGTGTAAAAACTTATTTACTACGCTTTAAACTGCAAGTTTGTGTTAAGCACGTAGCCGCCAAAATATTAAAATTCAATTCAGTGATGTGATGCAATGAATTAACGTGAGAAATGACACATGTAATTAGAATTCATGTGCACTATCAAGAGATCGTGCAGATTTCAAATCTCATTTCTATTTGTCGACAGGCCAAAAGTAAGCGACTGCATACAACAACAATAATCAGCAGAAGACGAACGAAGCTTTACGCAAGAAAAAAAAAAAAAACAGCGACAACGAAGGGAACTCCGAGGATCATAAACAGACTTGTGATTGCCGTAACATCATGGGAAATGACATTTCCAATTTACGTGCTCCTATCACGGTTAAAAACAAAACAACAAAGTCGATCCCTGCTAAAGGTATATGCGGTACACTTTTTATTGTTTGCTGTATTTTTCGAATTGTAACGAGATTTTAGCTGTAAAAGTTAAAAATTTTATCGCAAGTTAAAATCCCATTTTGGTTCAAACGTCAAATTTCACATGTGCAAAACTTAATGCGAGAGTTAAAATGCATTTGAAGTGCAACGTTTTAATCAATTTGCTCTGAAGAAGGGCTAACGCTCGAAACGTTAGCTTTGTAACTCTTTACGGTGGCCAATTTACAATTTCAATTTAGTTGATATTACCAAGTTTCCTTGTTTTAAATTAAATGCGACTTTCGCCGTATCTGCTGAAACAGTCGAAGATTCGACTAAGGTTCGACTTTTGGTTCAAACGTCGCATCTCACATGTTATGATTCATTTATTACCCATAACTCGCAAGAATTCTGTGAATACCATGCGCGAAAAAGCCAAAAAGCACCAAAAACCGGTGGTACCGCACGTCAAACAACTATATTTTGTCTTTGCAAAGCAAGAACTAATTACTTTTGTATGAGATGTTCTGTTTTTAAACACGAAGAGGGCGCTCCTGAGTGGAAAGTAGAAAAATCTGTGGCATATTCTGGGTCGTGTTTCAATGAAATGATGGATCCGAACGTGAATCAAGTCAAAGTATCACGACGAAAAGCCAAGATGACGAAGCAAAAACAAACAGCAAAACAAAAGCATCAGTATAAAACAATTAAGCAAACGCTCAGCAGACGTCTTCGTCTAACAATTAAGTAGTCCGCCTGGGAATATTGACAGCGAACAGAGTTAAATTCGACAGAGTTAAATTCGACAGAGTTAAATTCGACAGAGTTAAATTTGACGTTTGAATCAAATGCCGCATTTCAACTATTTTAGTCGACTAAAATAGGAGTTAAGTTCGGCACATGTGAAATTAGACGTTTGAACTGGGCCTAAGATAGCTCCAGTCCACTTCAACATTGTTCCGCTAAGTATTGTGAGGTTTTGAGAAAAATATACAGTTTGAATCAGGGACTTGAAAAAGTAATCTCGGTTTTATTTATTTATTTATTTATTTTTGACGTTTCATGTTGGCAAACGATTTCATCCAGGCTCTTTCATAACAGTCTGACTAACATCTAATTTCTTCTGACAATGTCACCGCTGAATCACACATTAATGTGACGAGAATAAAGGAAATGATTACCAACTAGAGAAGCTCTTGCCTTCCCTTGGTCGGCACCCTAGGAAATGTATGGAAAAGAGTATGTAAAGGTGCATAACGGGTATTTCTGAAGTAGGCCAGGGTATTTGAAGAAAAAAAAAATTTTTTTCTAAAATATAAAGAGGCGTTTCACAGGGCATCAGTTATTAAGGAAACAAGTGTTTCCGTAACGATGATAATTCTAACAAACGAGCTGGTCGTTTGGACGTTTTTTCGACGTTATAGGGATATTTTTTTCCATAGTGACAGCGGATACATGTAAAAAATGCGAACGGGTTCAACAGAAGTGTTGCTTAGGACATCTCTACTTTTTTGTTAGACTTCCATGGTTGTTCCTTGGTCACGTTTGTATGTGTAATTTAAAGCAACTGCACCGCATCCTTTGAAACACTTTGCTTAACGGCGTCGAAAAATAGAAATGAGCTTGTCCCGGTGTGCTGACAAATTTTAAGTTTCTTCTTGCTTCACAAAGAGTAATTATGTGAAAAATACAAATTGTGTTCATATGGCGAGCTGCCCTCTAAGGATAGTTGGGCATTGTCTACAATTGTTGACCAACTAAAATCGTGCCTTGCAAAAAAATTGTGCAGTGATAATTCTTGAACCCATGGATAACTTATAATCATGAGAATGATTGTTGTCACTGGTGGATGACTGATGTTTTGAAAGCTAGAGCCGTACTAACACCGCAGCCTCAAAAATGACGCTCCAAACACTCAAATATCGAAATAAACTTTGCACGAAAACAGATCACACTTTTTATGTTTTGTTTTCGCATAAACAAATCCAACATACCACGGAAATGAATAATTATTTTACCTTGCAAAGGTTATGTAGATGCGTTATCTCATGATCCTTATCATTGTTATGGCCCGCAGATGGGAAGAGATATCCAATACTTGTGATAAAAATAGGTCATTATTTATTCTAAGAAATGATATTGCGGTGAACATGCCAGATCACACGTAATAACTTTCTCAAATTTTCTTGGATTTGCTATTTTGGTTTCCTTCCTGGACATCTCCTCGCCAGACTTCTCACTTTCCAACCTTCTCTTTTTCACGCGAAACGCATCATTTTGTATTTTTCAGGTCCTTGTGAGTTTGAAATTCCCAAGCGGTACGACCCGAATGAAAGGCGAGACTCAAATATTTCCAACAACAAAATCACCATTCAGGAAATAGATATGGCTATTTATTCTAACCCTGAGATAAACGAACACATGGCAGCACCAGCTCCCTCCCCTCCCCCACTTGGGACGGTACTGTTCGAGATTCGCTTCGACATCTACGAGGAACAACTAAACATTCATCTGATTGGGGCGCGAAGGCTCCCGGTCAGACACTTGGTGACCGAGCCGGGCGTGGCCTCGCATGGCGGTGTCATCAAAAGTGATCCAATGGTTGAAATTTGTCTGCTTCCTGAAGAGAAACCTGTCTTTGAGAGTTACACTCACTTTGGTAATCAGGATCCACAGTTTAATGAAAATTTTTCCTTCAAGCTCACGTCCGCCGAAGTGAACGAGAAAACTTTGCGCTTTACTGTATTTGACAACAAACGGCGGCATAGACTTACGCCGATAGGTCACACACTGTACTCTCTGAAGGGACAAGAGTTGGACGGAGCTATGACAATGGAGAGAAATCTTAAACTTAACTCACAGGTATGGTGATTGATCAGCGAGAACAAGTCACAGGGAGCTCCTAGCCGCGGTAAAAGTGATCAAATCAGGGCCGATATCTTTGTTTAGGGAATCCCATACGATTGGAGATCTCACTGTTTCCCAACCGTTTTAGATTTTGCCGGTATATCGAGAGATCGAAAGACTTTTGTCTTTCTTTTCCACAGACGCCATTTTATTTGTGACTCGAGGGCCAAGGGGTACTGGAGCCAAGCAATTAGAGGATTGGTAGCAAGGTGAAACTGTCACCGACGTACCTGACTGTTAAAATTGGGTCTGTTGGGAAAATGAAACCCTTCAGAATTTTCCAATTTATCACTGACTATTCCAGACATTCAGGGATGTCTATGATATCCAGTTTTCATTAGTCAGAAAACTCTGGGACGGTCGTGAAACAATGAAATTCCCGGCCATCAGGGGGTTTCCCGGTGCACGTGAAAACCAGCCTTAAAATCAGAACGGGATAATAGATAGGTTGTATGAATCCACTAAAATATACAAGAATAATAAGAAATTTAGGAAAAAGGAGACAGAAAACCTCTCGATAAACTTTAAGATCCAGCGTATGTGGTCTAACGAGAATGATATCACATCTATCTCGCGTTTTGAATGAATGTTCTGTTGGAGAACATACAAACCCCTTCATGGGGTGTCCACTTAAGATATCATTACGTCATAGTATTGGCTATTTCAAGATTCAGAGATCTTTAAAATAGGCGTGTTTCACGAATAACCTAAGACGGCTGAGTTTTTGCACTCTCACCTTAATCTTCCCTCAAAATATCTTTTTTTTTTCATTAATATTTCTATTCACATATCGCTTCATTTATTTCTTTCTTCAAGTACATATTTTCTCGATCACTCAATTATCTATTTACTTATTTTATTTTTGTTTTGTTTGTTTTCTTTTTGTTCTTTTTTTTCCTTATCTTTCTAGCCCTATGGCCACACTCGCGGCGAAATTTTGTTATCACTGGACTATAACCCGGCAATGAACACAATCATGGTGGGAATCATAAAAGCGAGAAACCTGATACACTTTGACGCTCATTCAAACAAAGGTGAGAAGCTTTCGAACCGAATACGTTTGTCATTTAGACCACTTTTTAATTATGTATCTAAAAGCCAAAACAAACGTAATCCCAGTGACCAAACAATCAGAACAAAGTGTTACATTGTTCGTAACCAATAAGAACTCACAGCAAAAACGAGGACACTGCTTCAAGCGCTGGAAAACGCGAATAAGCAAGTCGCAATTTTTTCTTAGTTTTCATCTGGTTGGTGTAGATATCGGGGCAAGTTTCTGAACCAATCACAAAGCAAAGTTATGTAAAATCAAAGCAATCCGGATTACTTTCCACACTCAATTGAAAAATTGCTCTCTCCCTTAGGGATAACGTAAGTTCCATGACAAAACAACAACATTTGGAGAATGTTGTTTTGTATTGGCTGAAACTCGAACATGTAACGTTTCCTTATCTAAAATGCGAGAAATTTAGACGAATTTAAACGAATTATTCCGGAAAAGTCAAGGAATTAACAATCCCGAGAGAAAAAATTCCTACAAGTAAAGACCCCGTTATAATTCAAATAATAACTTCCCTCAGAAATGAAATGGTCCTTTTGAGTGCTCCATCTTCAAAGGGCATTTAAGATAAGATTTTCTCGTCCTGTTTATTATTGTGGGATTCCTGGAAGGGTGCTATCTCCGCAAGAAAGATATGACTTAACTTTAAAGGAGTCGATTATAGAGTTATTATCGCCAAGACACGGGCTCGTGAAGAAAGAACGGGTAATGAAAGATAAAGTTCAATGTAGAGCTCAATTTGTGATTTGCGAATTTCAGAAGATAAATTATTCAAATTTTCTCCTTTATCATTTCGCAGAATTTTTTGTCAAAATCACAGAAGTCTTTTCTGGACATAAGGTAAAGACAAAACGTACTCCTACCACAGACGGAGAGAAACACCCAATTTTCCATAGCACCCTCTCGTTCCAGGTCCCTGTCCAACGTCTTAGCTACACGAGCCTGGTACTGACTCTCTTGGGACGCGGAAAAATGAGAAGCAAAAAGACAGTTGGCCGCGCCATCCTGGGGCCTGGTATTTATGAGTGCGATAGCGAGAGAAGTCACTGGGGACGAATGATCATGTCACCGCTGATGAGGGTGGAACAATGGCACGCACTATACTTATAACAGTAAAATGTCTACGATGCGTTCTTGTATACAATTACTTTTGAGAAGTAGATCACGCACTAAAATCCAATCAAGGATTGTTACATAGACTTGAGGTCTCGTAGGCAAAGCAGCTTTCACGTCTAAACTGTTGTAGTTATTAGAGGTCTAACTGACCGTGATCTAAAACAAGGAGTCTGGGTGTCAAAAAATAATGTTTTGTACGTATGAAATTCACGGCGAACGGCAAACGTAAAAAAAAATCACTTTATTTTCCTCACTTTTACTCAACTTACTTTTAGGATAAAAAAAGTGAAACATCGAATCAAATTCCTCATTCACAGTAAACTCAATTTGTACTTTTTAATATACAAACGCCCGTGAGCAGACGAAAAAAGATCGAATTTGCTTTTGCCGCTCACCGTTTGCCATCGATATCATTTGTCCTATGAAACGTCAAGTCGGTCCATTTTATCGTCATTATTATTATTATTATTATTATTATTATTATTATTATTATCATTATTATTATTATCATTTTACTCATTGCGTTTTTATACCTGTTTATGCTTAATCTCTGACCTTCCGTTTTGAAAGTCTGAACTGGTTGGGGGAGGGGAAAGAGGAAAGGGTAGGGGAGGGGTCGGAGGGAGGGGGAAGGGGAAAGGGTAGGGGAGGGGTCGGAGGGAGGGGGCGGGATGAATGCGACTAAATATCAAATTAGTCACTAGGTATAAGAAATCAGCGGGTGCGAATTTCGTAAAACATAAACAACTTCGAATGTCAATTCATTTATTCTTCTTTTTATTTATACATTTTTGAGAGTTTTTAATCTTTCGTACAAAATTTTTTATTCGTAGTGAAAAGGGCATAAGTTCGCACTCTTTTCAAGATTTTTGTAGAAAAAGCGGAATAAAAAGGCATTAATAGTTACATCAGTGCCTCTAGAACCGAGATGAAGAAATAGTTAGTTTTTAAGAAGAAAAAAACAACCTGTCCTTCTTAAGCTTACTCTCCTTCGCAGTGGACGTTTTCTTCAGCACGCAACGCGAAGGAGTTATTTAAGGCTGGTTCCGTGAAAAGGCCAAATTAAGGATGGGAAAGAAACACCTATAGCCAAGTAGAGCCTGAGAGTTAAATTTACAAGTAACACTGGGTATATATCTACGTATGAAAAGGGATTTTCCAATGGATCATTGAAAGGGATCCAGGTTTACAATGGTTTTAGTTCATTCTGATCTGTGATCGGTCCAGAAATCTCGCGGAACCCTCTCTACCTATCAGATGCAAGTTAAGAAACAACTGTGTCTTGCTTACTCACGTTTTCATATGATGATGATTGGTTTTCATTCATTTTGACTTTTATCCTGATTGGTTGACGTAATATCTTTGGTTTTGCTTTACACTCAAGTCTATCAAAAAGCACCTTGACTACGGGGCAATCCCAAACGAATTTTGTTCCCAGTCAAAGATAACTGAATTTGTGCAGAAAATACACAGAAATTGAAGAGAATTGGGTAGTTTGGGAACTTTCCATAAAAACAAAGGTACAGTTCCTAAAAGCCGTCCCAAATATTGTGGGCCGATCAATTTGAAACTGTGACTGACGGCTGAGAACGTTGTAAGTGTTTATGAAGAACTTTAATGCTAATTTTTTGGGGGGCAGTATCTCGGGTCTATATTCTCGTAATCAACGCTTTTGTCGCCGCTCATTAGTTACGATCTGAAGTTTTGCTTCGTCTTTGCAACTTCCAGGAAACCAGCCATCGTGTATTGTATTGCGTTGCAGTTGCGTAGACTGAGAGCAAATAAAATTTCTATAACAGTTACAGCTTTATGGATTATTTCAAAATTTGTTAGAAAGGTTGGGCAGTTTTGGAATCATGCAGACTTTCGCGCACTGGTTGGTACAAAAGAAAAATTTATCCAAGAGGAATGGGAAATTGCACTCCGATGCAAAGAGTAAAGAGGATTTTATTCTCTTCGTTATTCTTGCAGAAAAACATTCTTATTTTCGTTTCAAGGAGACATTCTACGGAAAGGATGAACTAAAATTCACCATCATCATTCACATTTTGGATAAACTAGAAATGTCCTGAATTAGTCGATATCAGAGTCGTAGCCATTAATGAAGTCTGTTGCCTCTTCCTTGCTGATTTCTGGTCGTGAAACTGTGAAGAAAAGAAAAGACTCAATTACTCCACAAATCCAGACGGCCCAAGTGGTAATCTAGGTTACTTTACGGTGATTTCTCAGAAAGCCTTCATTTATCTCGCTGAAAAGAGTTAAGTATTGTTTTAAGAGCGTTACAAGTGACATTGCACCGGCACCTCCACCTTCTTTCCACCCCCCGACCCTCCCATCCCCTTCCAAAAGAAACATTCCTCTCCCTACCCCGTCACCGCTCTTCACTTCTTCATTCCACAAGGCGAAAAAAAGTCACTTTTTAAAGCAACTAATTCCGTGCCCAGACTCTCACGGTCCTTCACACAAGTTATAGATTGAGGCAAAGTACATTTCTAACACGTTGACAGAAAAGACGAGTCTTTCGAGCGATCTCATCCATCGTATGGTCTTCACTCCTTTTCATATATGGCTTAAAAACTATGGAACTCTCTTCCGGACTCTTTTAGAACGTCTGACTTTTCTGATTTCAAGCGCAAGATTCTACAGTATGACTCTTTCTCATAGTTAAATTTTAGAATGTTACAATTTTACATTTTACATTTTACATTTTAGTAGTATTTAGAATTATACTTGTAACTCGAAGATACTAGCTTATTCTTTAGCTACTCCAAATTCGAGATTAAATAAAGTATATGTATGTATGTGAGCCAGGTACGAGCGACAGCCTGTTCCACGACATGACCACACAACACATACAGCGCCTACGATTAAAGTTACATTTGCCGCAATCGCTGTACAAAATCGTTAAAAGTGCCGCACTGAGACTAACACTTTCTTACCCTGAATACTTCGTTTACGTCTCCACCCAATAACCGTCCCTTTTCCCTCTTCTTTTCTCTCCTCTCTTCGCTCTGACCGTTCCTCCATCTTCTCCTTAAACTTTTCTCTGTATCTTGATCCAAGGGCGTGGCCCAACAGGAAGCATATTAAGAGGAGGGAGAGGAAAAAGGATCGTGCTGTCGACATATCTGGAAGCAAAAATTTACTTAGTACCGAAGTAAGAAATTGTGAAAATGCCCATAGGTTTGTTATGAGGTAAATACGATTGGCGTCTAAAATTTATTAAAAAAAAAATTAATGAAACAGGATCGTGGTTCTACAATTATGGGCGTGGAAGTGGGGGCAGGAGTCGAAAAGAAGGCTGAGGGGGGTGGAAGTGGGGGCAGGAGTCGAAAAGAAGGCTGAGGGGGGTGGAAGTGGGGGCAGGAGTTGAAAGGAAGGCTGAGGGGGGTGGAAGTGGGGGCAGCAGGAGTCGAAAAGAAGGCTGAGGGGGAGGATGGGGTTTTGTCACTGCTTAGGCAAGAACAGCAACAAATACTGTTGTCTTTCCTTCAACTCAAAATCGACATGGCGTCAAACAGCCACCCTAAAAATAAGATCTAGTTCCGAAAGATTACCGTAACAAATTAATTTTACTTAAGAACTTTTGTCTTCTTTTTATGTCGGTCTGTGAAAGTAAAGGTTAAATCTAGATGGAGATCCACAGCGCTAACGATCTTCACTTTTTTTATATGCTTATTATTTGTGAATGATATCAAGGCTATAGCCGTAATAGATGTTTGTGATATTTCCCCGCAGTCCTGGCTTAACACAACCTCATTTATTCAGCTGCTTCAAGGTGTCATGTTACTGTAAATGGCCTTCATAAAGCTTTGCCGCTGTCAACAAGATTTTTAATGGAAGATAGCCTTTTTTTAGTTTATCTTTTTCGCTCTATCCTCTAGAGAGTGTCCTCAAAAAGGGGTCGAAAAGTACAAGAAACCATCATACTATTTACAATTTTTATTCTTTTGACGAAGGATTCAAATTTCAAACGCCAAACGTTCCACGCGCAGAGTCCTTGCAGCCCGTAGCAATTTGCCACGAGTTCGAACTGAAAACACGGGTTTCTTCCAATTCTGTCTAGTTTTATGTATCAAGGATTATACTATCATACAGAATTCACAGAAGATCACCACAAGATTTCACTTTTCTCAAAAATTATTTTTTTCGTGATAGTACTAGAAAGAGGTTCCCATGGTCTCCTTAAAGATTTTTAAATCAGTTTTAAGGCAAATTATTTAACGTGAAAATAACTCAAAGCATTTATCACAAATATGTTCACTGGAAGACAGTTCAGGTAAGGAAGTGCTTGAAGTAACTTCTTCCTCCGATTTGTTTTCATTTATCAACAACTGACTTACTACGAACGCTTTCGGCCAGCTTAGAATCAGATTTCGTAGGATAAACAACACAAAATATGAGGCGGTAATAAAAGATGAACGTAACTGTTATATACATTTTCTTTCGTTTCTACAATAAAATCTTAACGAGTGCTTACCTTCAATCAGTTTTACAGAAATAGAAACCTTCAACAAATCGTGAAATAAAAGGATTGATGCCTCAGTTTTCGCGTCACAAGAATTTTTTTCAAGAAAGATCTCGGTTGATCTTTGATACCGAGTATTTCTTCAAACGCGTACTAGCGTGATTTATTAAAACTTGGCTGTCACTAACGATTCAATTGTTCAATGTTTAACCAGTTTTGGCTCTAGAATTTGCTCATTTTGAACACAGGATGAATGCCAATCACCTCGCTCCTGTTTCTATTGATTGCCACTTTAGACCGCTTGTCATAATAGAAATGTGTTTGTGTTTCACTAGGGTTAATTTGACTTTTGCAAGCTCTCTCCATGTGAAATCAAGATATTGGATGTTCGGTGAGCTTAACATCCCTTCATGGGATTGTCTTGAACATTTCCTTGACTCATAATTTGATCATTAAGCTGGAAATATTTCAATAACAGCTAAATAAAGAAAACCGAAGATTCCTTTTATTAAACAGCGCTATTGATACGAATTAAATCTGACATTTCCTTTTAAAACTCAGTATTCGAAGTTAAAATGAAAACAAGAAATTGAATAACTAATATGCATGCAAGTTTGATTGATTGTCATAAAACAAGAACCAAAGGCATCAAGACAGCTTATCACAGAACTGAAAAAAAATGCGAACAAGAACTCGTAATGGAAAAAAAATCGACTGCCTAAAACGTTTTAGGGTGGTTTCCAATTGAGATTCGTGAAACCGAAACCAAAGTAATGACAACAGCCAATCAGAAGAGAGTAAAACATCACGAGGAGCCAATGGGAGCTCAAAGTAATGACGGGCAAGTGTCAAAAGCGCGGAAAAACGCGTGTGAGCAAGGACCGGTTGGTCTAGTGCTGCATATGTTTGGCTGAGAGGGTAACGATTTCATCAATCACCGCGCCTGAGGAAGGCAATCTAGGAAATCGGTCAACTCTCGATTTTAACCGCCTCCCGGTTAGCTCAATGGAGAGAGCGCTGGACTGATGTGCGGGAGGTCGAGGGTTCGAGCCCGGCCGGACCAACACTCAAGGTCTTAAAATAATTGAGAAGAATATGCTGCCTTTCTGTAACATCAAGAAATGGTTTAGATATTCTAGTCTTCTCGGATAGGGACGAATAAATGGAGGTCCCGTCTCCTGCAGGGTTAGGGGTGGGAGACATTAATTTCTCACGCACGACATTACTGGTGATGGATGTCCTCCCCTGGGGTGGGATGGGTGGGTAACAGGATCCCCGTTGATACCAGTGTTTACTACACTGAAGGGGCTATCCTGTATAAATAAAAATGTCTACTACTACTCTACTACAGCATGATTATTACTTTTGGATTACGGTTACTTTCAGAACAACGCGAGGGACATTTCTTCGAAAATGTGTTATTCTTAAATTCGTCATTTGATTTCTTTTTCTCCGTCAGTGTTGGCTATACAAAAAACCTACCGCCAAAATGCTAGCGACTTCTACTTTGGAAAACAAGAACTGCAGGCGAGAATCAAATTATCCTCTGCAAATTTTGTACAGAACGGTTTGTATTTACTAACGTTTCCAATCTTTGATGTGCTAGTACAATGCATTTTTCCTCTCCAAGTCTTGAGCAACCACCAAGGACATCTATGATTAAATTGTGTTGAATGATCTTGTACCCAGGGTATGTTTTTGTGAGCTCTACTCGTTTCTTAATAGTATCATTATCGTTATTAGTATTATAATAGTTATCATAATTGTTATTACTATTAATAT